GACGTTGACGTGTTACATAGCGTGCACAGCTGCAATGCGTCAAACTCAACATCTGTTTGTGCATTATAGAGATGCATCTGCAGGTCGCCCGTTATCCACCCAGCGCTTGTCACACTGGCTGTGTGAGGCCATTTCTGAAGCCTACAGAGCATCAGATTTAGAGCCTTCTGTCAACCTCAGAGCACACTCGACCAGGGGTATCGCATCTTCGACTGCCTTGCATAATGGTATGACAATGCAGGACATTTTGCACTGCGGCCGCGTGGTCAACACCCTGCTCATTCATTCGCTTTTATCTACGTGATGTGACGGCTTGTTCCATGACACATTCTGTCCTTAGTGTTTACAGAATGAATATTGTTGTTTCATGGAACTCCGTTTAACACACATTTGTCTGCATGCATTACAGTGTGAGATGTTGTTATCAATCACAAATTGTGATTGTTATTTTGGTTCTATTGTCACTAATCAGTTCATGACTATTGTTACCAATCAGTTCATTTGATTAATAATCAGCTCTCCTGTTATTATTAATCTGTTCATACTGTTCAGCTGTAAACCGGTTGGTTCATGGCTCTTTTCAGCATTTTTCCCTCCCCATTGAAGTTTTCCGGGGCGTTCATGCATTCAGAATGCATAGTTACACAACATGCGTCTGTGCATGGCACACATAATTACGCAATGCGTAATTACGCACATGGGGAGCTGAGTGACGAGACGTTTTTTGGGCAAGCTTCTGCTTCATACGGTGTTCGAATGAACCCAGTGAGGCGAGGACAACATCCGATCCGCCCTTAACCCATCAGCAACAGCCTTAAAGGGCGAAGCCTATACGAAATAGAACGTTAGTTACGTACTGTAACCCCAGATTCTATGAGTATAGGCGTAGCCCTTTAAGCGTCGGGCCTCATTGGCTCCTAAATGGCTGAAGAAAAAGCTATTTGGGAGCCGATTACCCGCTCTTAACGTAATTTATACGGACCGGGTGGGGCCCACACAGCAGGTGGGCGTGGACTAAATTTTTCAGTGCAATGCTTCGCATATCGGGATAAACCCATCAGCGACAGCCTTAAAGGGCTACGCCTATACTCATAGAATCTGGGGTTACAGTACGTAACAAACGTTTTTACTACTTTTTTTGCCATCTTATTTGTAAAAAAAAAAAATCTTTGTGCCTTTTTACACTGTCCATTGTTACCATAATTCTTTGTTGAAATCAGGTCTCTCTTATAAAGGAGTCCTCGAGGCTCAATGGGATTAACCACTTATGAACCTCTGAAAAGAGATCCAGGAAGTGGTTACAAGAAGAAGTTAATAGATTGCCTGAAGACTTTGGAGCAGGACAAGGCTATTGACCGTTTTCTGTACCACAGACTGTACCCAGGGGAGGCCACACCTAGTCTGTATGGTTTACCTAAAATCCACAAACAAGGTGTACCATTAAGACCAATTGTTAGCATGATTAACTCTGTCACTTACAATGTTTCCACATATCTGGCGTCTGTACTCATCCCTTTAGTTGGCAGCTCAGAACACCACATACAGAACACCATGGACTTTGTGGATAAGGTGAGGGATGTCATCATGGAGACTGATGAAACAATGGTCTCTTTTGATGTCACATCACTCTTTACATGCATTCCTGTTGATGATGCAGTAGAGGTGGTCAGTTTAAAATTAAAATCAGACACCACTCTGAGCAGCAGGACCACGCTTTCCACAGAACAACTGTGTCAACTCTTGAAACTGTGCCTGCAGTCAACCTACTTCACATATGGGGAGCAATATTATAGGCAGAAACATGGGTGTGCTATGGGGTCTCCAGTTTCTCCTATTGTTGCCAACCTGTACATGGAGGAGGTAGGAAAGAGAGCCTTGACGTCCTTTTCAGGGACACCACCAAGTCATTGGTTCAGGTATGTTGACGACACCTGGGTTAAAATTAAATCACAGGAAGTCCAACATTTTACGGACCACATCAACTCTGTGGATAAATACATCAAGTTCACACGAGAAGATGTAAAAAATGGCAGGTTGGCTTTCTTGGACTGTGAGGTCTCAGTCTCTGATAGAGGACATTTGCAAACTGAGGTGTACCACAAACCCACACACACAGACCAGTATTTGCAGTTTGACTCCCATCACCCTTTGGAGCACAAGTTAGGAGTCATCAGGACTCTGTACCACAGAGCAGACAGCGTCCCCACTAGCTCGGGAGCCAGGCAGAAGGAGAAATCCTACACAAAACAGGCTCTAGAGCAATGTGGATATCCTAACTGGGCCTTCCTGAAAGCAGAGAAGAAACCCAAACAGGACTCCAATCAGCCATCAGGTGAAAAGGAGGAACCCAGACCCAGACCAGTGGTCATTCCGTATGTTGAGGGAGTAGCAGAGAAACTGAGACGTTTATTTTCTAAACATAACGTCCCAGTGGCTTTTAAACCCCAAAATACATTAAAGACTGGTTCATCCCAAAGATCCAGTCCCCCGACACAAACAGAGTAATGTTGTGTATGTTGTTCAGTGTCAGGAGGGTGATCAGTCTTACATCGGGGAAACTAAACAGCCACTGGCCAAAAGGATGGACCAGCACAGAAGATCAACATCATCAGGCCAGGACTCTGCGGTCTACACTCATCTCCAGGCCAGCGGTCACTCTTTCAGGGATGAAGATGTTCACATCCTGGACAGAGAGGAACTATGGTTTGAGAGAGGAGTAAAGGAGGCCATCTTTGTGAAAAGAAACCGTCCATCGTTAAACAGGGGTGGAGCCTCCAGGTTCAACTGTCCCCCTCTTACAATGCTGTGATTGCTAGTATCACTCAGCCCTCTGTGAACAGTAAACAGCCATCAGTGTGCTAATGATCCATTGTTAGGCTGATGGTCCTTCTTGAGCATGTGATCAGCTGGTTTTGGTTGTCAGCAGCAAAACTGGTTGATCC